TAAAACGAACTCGTGTTGTGCTTATTCTTATTTTCTTTCTTATCTTTATGTTGTGTCTGGCATTGTTTTGGTTATAAGTAATAACCACGAATAATTACTGTTTATCTTGCTAATACTCGAAGTACTCAATATATATATACATTCATTGATACAGAGAGCTGTCTTGGTACCGGCACTTGAAGGTCGAGATATCATTGCTCGTGCAAAGACTGGAACTGGCAAGACATTAGCCTTTGGCATCCCTATAATTAAACGCCTTACTGAAGACGATACCGAACGTACAAGGAGGTAGCAGCATACCATATATTTCATCCCTTTGTTTTCAATATCGTTGCTATGCTTAATGTTTCTCTCCTTTTAGGATGTCTGGTCGGCTTCCAAGAGTTTTGGTCCTGGCTCCTACTCGAGAGTTAGCCAAGCAAGTGGAGAAAGAAATTAAAGAGTCGGCATCGTATTTGAACACGGTTTGTGTTTATGGAGGTGTTTCTTATACTATACAGCGAAGTGCTCTTTCCCGAGGGGTTGATGTAGTGGTTGGGACTCCTGGTCGAATCATTGATCTTATAGAAAGTAACGACCTCAAATTGGGGGAAGTTGAATACCTGGTACTTGATGAAGCTGATCAGATGCTTGCTGTCGGGTTTGAGGAGGATGTCGAAGAAATTCTAGAAAATCTCCCATCAAAGAGGCAGAGCATGCTTTTCTCCGCAACCATGCCTTCTTGGGTTAAAAAGTTGGCAAGAAAATACTTGGACAATCCTCTGAATATTGACTTGGTACTTTCATCCCTATGTAATATTGGATATGTGTATACATGTTTTTTGACATGTTACTTATGTTTCCTTATCGATGATGATAATGAAGTTTATATTTCTGATCATCACTAGAGAAAATTAGTCTCTGCCCCAATTCCCGGCTGCTTTCTTGGGCTGGGAGAAGTAATGCATTGTTGAGGAAGTTAATCAAGTTTGCAAAACTCAACATCCTTTCACAGGTTGGAGATCAAGATGAAAAGCTTGCCGAAGGGATCAAACTTTATGCAATATCAGCCACTGCAACTTCAAAGCGGACCATTCTTAGTGATCTCATAACAGTAAGCAATTTATCTTCTCTTACTTTGTCTCATTGGTTCAGTATCTTATTGGTTCATGCTTTTATCAAATATAGTAGTTGCCTATCTCGTAATTTTAGTTGTTAACTTTTTTTAGAGGATATTGTTTTGCCATTTTGTGTCTAACATGTTTAAAATCTTGCTGCGCTACGATATTTTAACACCATTCAAATTTCTTTAGAATCTATGTACTCAAAAACAGAATCTTTACGTTATCTTCAGGTTTATGCGAAGGGTGGGAAAACCATTGTTTTTACACAAACAAAACGGGATGCCGATGAGGTGTCAATAGCTTTAACAAGTAGCATAGCTTCTGAGGCATTGCATGGGGATATATCTCAACATCAGAGGGAGCGAACGTTGAATGGGTTTCGCCAAGGAAAATTTACTGTGCTTGTTGCCACTGATGTTGCGGCTCGTGGACTTGATATCCCAAATGTTGATCTGGTATGTTGGCAACTCTATTATTTCTTTTGGGCCATTGCTACTTTATGCTCCATTTGATTGTTGCGTTTCTCACTTATTGTTTTTTTTTGCCTTTGATTCTACTGGTAAAATTAGTTTCTTAAGCTTAAAAGAAGATGACATTTTGAGTAGACTGTGCTTTCTAAATGACATATTGAGAAGACTGTGGCACTTACTACTATTTTCTTCAGATTATCCACCATGAGCTTCCCAATGACGCGGAGACTTTTGTGCATCGCTCTGGACGAACTGGACGTGCAGGGAAGGAAGGTTCTGCAATTTTAATGTATACTAACAGCCAAAGGAGAACTGTCAAATCTCTCGAGCGTGATGTTGGATGTAGATTTGAGTTCATTAGTCCTCCATCTATGGAAGAAGTTTTAGAGTCATCAGCTGAGCAAATTATCGCTACTCTAAATGGAGTTCATCCCGAGTCTATAAAGTTCTTTACCCCGACTGCTTGAAAGGATAATTGAAGAACAAGGGACAAGTGCTCTTGCTGCTGCGATAGCACACCTAAGTGGATTTTCCCGCCCTCCTTCGTCCCGATCTCTTATTAACCATGAACAGGTAAACTATAATAAAGTTTATCTTCCTTCTAGTAAAGTTTATCTTCCTTCTGACTTTTTTTGGATCACTCGATTTCAAAATTACATTCTAGTTTGCTTGTGGCCTATATGGACAACTTAGCACTTGATATAAGAACTTCTAATTTGAGTTTCAAGGTTCTAATCTTTGCAGGAGTTTATAAAAACCACCATAACATATTTTTTTGAAGTTTTTTCAAATCCCAGTACCTATTTGTTAAGAATTTATCTCTGTTATGTTTCTGGAATATTTTTTATTTCGGGATTAATTTAGCCTGTTACCTAATCGGCATGTGTGGCAGGGATTTGTAACACTGCAATTGATAAGAGATGAAACTTATTCCAGAAGGTTCCTTACTGCTAGGTCTGTTACCGGGTTCCTTTCTGATGTGTACTCTGTGGCTGCTGATGAAGTTGGGAAAATACATCTGATTGCCGATGAGAGGGTCCGTATCAGCAAAAGATTCTTTTCATTGTCTCCTCTGACTGATGAATTTCTTCACTCAAGACTTGAGAATGTATTTTTTTTTTTCAGGTTCAAGGAGCAGTATTTGATCTCCCTGAGGAGATTGTGAAAGAGTTGCTGAGTAAGGAAATACCGCCTGGAAACACCATCTCGAAGATCACGAAGGTTGATGCTAGATATCGTTCGCTGTTGGTCGTATTGGTTATATTACTGTCATCGGACTTAAGCTGATGATGTTCATTTATTTCTTCTGGCAGCTGCCTCCTTTGCAAGATGATGGCCCTTCAAGTGATTTTTACGGAAAATTCTCCAGTAGGGATCGTGATCATTTTTCACGAGGCGGTTCTAGGGAACGGAGAGGTTTGAGGACTTCCAGGGGTTGGGGTAATGGCCGAGATTCCGACAATGAGTTCCAAGGCGGAAGAAGCAGCTGGTCACGGGCTTCGAGAAGCAGTAGGGATGACTGGCTAATTGGTAGTAGCAGATCAAAGAGGTCACCCTTCCACGATAGGCATGTCTTCTCCTTGTATTCTCTTATGAAAAACCTATCGTCAGCCTTGTTCTTCTGTTCCAAGTTTTACATCTAAATGATAACATACACGCAGCAATCAGATTTATCAGATGATCTGATTTTCTGATATGATGATAATCCGACTATGATTACTTGAATCAATATATATTACTGGGGCTTCTTGTATATTATGATTCGAGGTTGACCTCTCTCTTCACTCGTGCAGAAACTTCGGTGGTTCATGTTTCGACTGTGGGCGACCCGGGCATAGGGCATCCGACTGTCCTGAAAAGTCCGACCTTTAGCGTGTTGGTCTTGGTTTGATATCGACATTCACCAGCTTGGAACAAAGCTGGCTGTAGTTGGGGGCACTCGGTTTTTAACAGATATTGGCATTCACTCGAAGATCTCGACGATGAAGACGCCATTGGTGCTCGGCGAGGGAGCTCTACTGATGTAGTTAGTTTTTGTTGGTAATTCAATCATTTGCTATATTAGTCTCTCTTTCTATCTCGCTAGTTTGGTGCCTAAAATGTGCGGCCTGCTAATGGCCAAAATGTTCCAAGAAAATATTTTGAACACTGTATTTTTTTTCTTTCAAATGCCATACCAAAATCATATTCCAAATTGGTTCTGGCAGGTTATATATAAAAATATATTTAAATTATTTTCTCGCTATGGGCTAGGGCTAGGGCTATTAATTGGAGACATTATTTTGATTTCGTTTTTATTTTGGTTATTCAATTATTATTTTGTGAATATATTTAATATTAAATTTTGGTCATTTATTGATGTGTCATCAAGTAATCATATAATGTCATTTTATTTTTTTAAAAACTAATAAAAAAATATCATATTAATAATTTTGTTTATTTTTCAATGATGAGTGATTAAAATAAAATCAAAACATTATATTAATTATGATTTTGATAAAAAAACTAGATGATTAAAACAAAATATAAGTGATAATTGAGTGACAAAATATGTAGTTTACCTTAAAAATATAATAGGGTAATTATGTGTTTAATATTTAAACTATCAATTTTGATCTGTTTTAGTACTTAAATTTTTAATTTTTTTTAAAAACATACATAACGTTTAATTTTTGTTTTATTTTAGTACTCTCGTTAAGTTTTTAACGTTAGGTTTTGAAAAAAAATCTAAAAGTTTAGGTAATAAAATGGACAAAAATTGATAGTTTAGGTACTAAACGTGTTAAACTTTTAACGATGAGATACTGAAATGAAATAAAAATTAAATATCAGATATGATTTTAAAAAATAAAAAATTTAGATAAAAAACAAACTATAATTAATAATTTAGGTATTAAATACGTAATTTATCCTATATTTTGAAATAGAATATATTGGATTATATTATTTATTTTTAACAATAAACTATAATATGTTGAATTATCCAATTATATACTAATTATAGTAATAAAGCACCATATTGCAATAATTACTTTTACAACTTATCAAATAGTAGTATTATTTATTTATTTATATTTATTAATACTATAATTTCTCTGCCGATAATGATTTTCATGGTGTATATAACTTCAAATCCAGCCACATCTTAGGGTTTTCCATTTCCTTTAATGTATCATCACTTTCTGATTCAATCCCAAACCCTCATTTCCAATTTCGGAAGATACATTACCCTAGAAGGTATTTCATCCTAAATTTCACCATTTTTCCCCTTTCCAATCCATTTTTATTTATTTGAGTTAATTAAATATTCATGTTTATAGAGAAACTCTAGCTCAATTCTCAAATTTGATTCCTTCATTTGTATTCATAATTGATTATGATAGAGAATCCCAATGAACGTTGTATTGAATAGCATGGTTGGGTTGATTTTCTTTTCCGGATTTTGGTTTATACTTATTTTTTTCTGCAATAATAGTTATTGATTTCGATCTCAGTCTTGTTCTTGATTGAACATTGAACGAAACCCCCGCATTGTAGTTATGGATTTGGAGAGTGAATGTCCTGTGGTTGAATTTTCCGAGGGTAATGAATCCCCGCAACACACTATACCCCATGCTGATGCTAATAAAATCAAGAACAATCAGGTTGATGCTTGCAAGATTAAGGATAGTGGGCTATGCGCAAATGATGATTTCACTGCTGATGTTCATGTAAATGGTCCTGCTGGGATTGCACTGCCAATGCATTCGTCTCCGCCTGCTAAATCTACCCCCAAAGGCTATGGATTGAAGAAATGGAGGCGTATTAAGAGAGGTTTTGTTAAGGAACCATCTCCCGTTATGGATAGTCCTAAAACATTGAAGCGATCTTCATCTGGTTCCAAAAATCCAACTCCTCAACATATGGTATCAACTGAGATCAAGCAGAATAGTGAGCCTCGTATTAGACCTGTGGCTGTGAGTACAAAAAAGAACACGAATTTTGCTAGTGGGTTCATGATGCACAGTCCCCGCTCTGAGTCCACCGAAAATACACCTCGAGGTAGCAAGTCTGCTACCGCAGCCAGTATGCCACAGGTCCTGCCTACGGTTTTGGGGTATGTGCACAGGAGAAATCATATGAAGAATTTTAGTGAGAAGAATGTAGGTAATTTAAGTCCAAGAGTTCAACAGGTAAAGGGTAGTGTTGAAAGCAGTAACAAGAAAAGAGGAGAAAGGGTCAAAATCGAGAAGGAAAACTCTCAATCCAGCATCGGATCTGACTCGAGGAGCTCCAACTTTGGCTTTATGTCAAGTCCACTTTCAGTGGCAAGTAAGGGAAAGCAAAGTGGAAACTCCTTGAATTTTGATGGGAAAAATCATGATGAAGCTCATGAAGGTGACCAGATCAATGAGGAAGTACAAACTGCTCATATGAAAGAAAATTCAAGTGAAATTGAAGCTCATGTAGGTGAAGACCAGATCTATGAGGAAGTACAAACTGCTCATAGGAAAGAAAATTCAGGTGAAATTGAAGAACTTTCACTGGATAATTTAGCTGCAGATTTGTCTCGTGAGGCTAAGGAAGAAAAAAGTGAGAGTCACTGGGTTTCACCAAATCAAGACTTGTTGACCAACTCTATTCTTTCTCTCCAATCCGTCCAGGAAGCGCTTGAAAGGGGTGGGTGATATATCCTTATACTAACTTTGATAAGCCTTCGTCATGGTTAAGTAATCATGTTTGCTGTGCATTGCTCTCTATTTCTTGCTTGGCGGCCATACCACACCACTTAATTTGCTCATATTTTAGTTAGTTTATTTGTTTGAAAATCCTCTGAAATATTTCCCTAAGTATTTACTCTAAGAAATTGATTACTCTTTCCTTTGTTCCAGAGTTGGACAAAGATTGAAAATAGTTGTTCTTCATAAAGTCTCATGGAAGCCAATTTTGAAATTGCTATAATATAAAGTCTCTACAACTGTTAAAAGGTTGTCCAAATAGCCGAAGGGAACTTCAGGCCATATAACGTTAAGTTTGTGAATCATGCATTGATAATAGACTTTAACAGTAATCCTAAGTATCTGGTAATGTCCTGATATCATCAAGAAAAAATCACCTGGAAAGGGATATTTGATTATGAATGATCTTGGGAAAAGCAGCGAGTAAATTCGAGGGAGAATGGCGGGAATGAATTTTCCTGGTTTTTGGTCAATGTTAACTCGGTTTTAAGAAGGGAATACTTGATGTATCGATGGTCAAAATATAATCATTTTGATCATGGAAGACTCTAGGATTTTCTTCTTGGCAGAGTGATTGTTATTTATATCTTTTACTAAATTCCATAATTGTATGAAAGAGTATAGGACAACAACATACATGTTTTCATTCTGGTAGAGTCATTGTTAATTGTATATTTTACTAAATACCATAACCGTATGAAAGAGTCTGACTTCGACATATATGTTTTTATTTGTTTACTGTGTCCTGTATTTCTTGAAGTTTAATGGAGCAGTATTTTTTCCTTGCAGAAATACATAAATTCGAGGAGATTGGAAAGGAACCTACATCTCTAGATGATGGTTTTGTTAACATGGAAAGCATTCATGCGGATTCTACTTTTGCCGATCAGGAAACTAGCTCATCTGACCGATTAGATTCTGAAAAGATAAGTTGTACATCAGATTCCTTGGAACCTCAACTATACACCTTAAAGCACAAAGTAAATTATTTGGAGAGCAAACTGGAGGAAGCAAGGGCCGTACTGCGGGCAAGGGAGTTGAAGATTTCTGAACTGGAAACCAGTGTAAATGGTAGCTGGTCAAGGAAGGAAGAACCAGGAGGCATTGCAGAGTTGCAGCAAAGTAAATACAGAGAAACGGAATTTGATCTCAAGGGCCTCTTTCAACAGAGAATGGAGGCTGAAACCGAGTTGCTAGCTCTAAGGAGAACTGTGCAGAAGTTGAGAGATTTTTTACGCAAGCGTCAAACCACAGTATTCAAAGAGCAAACATCAGCAGGTGTGCAAGCACGTAAGTTGAATAATAGTCAAACCGGCGAGGTTTCGAAGATGCAGATGAGAGTATATAAGGCAACATTATGTTTTTTAACACAGTTGGTATTACTGGTTTTAGTGTTCTTGTTTGTTATCTTGCAGTTGACACCCTTTACAGGGATAGATGTTCCCACCTGATTTTTTTTTGGGGGTGAATGATCCAAATGTAAGATTTCATTGTTATTATAGTTATAGAGCTTTATTTTCTTTTCCATTTTCCCCATGTTAATGCCACACCACAACTTGCTTATTGTCTTGAGTTGAGCTTCTCTCTCTCTATAGATTTAAGGCATAATAACAAAAAGAGCCTTAATATTTGATAAAAGTATCACTTTGGGCCCTATGTTTTTTTTAGTACATTAATCCCTAACGTTTAATTTTGGGTTAAAAAGAATACTGCCCAACGCTTGTCTTTTGACTCAAACTGAAACATTGAGGTTTAATATGTTTCCAAAAATAAGAATAGGGTCCAAAATGATATTTTTATCAAACGTTAAGGGTGTTTTTAAAGTTGTTTATATGGGAGTAGAATGATGTTCTGAACTACCACCAAAACTGTACACATGCTGTATCCATACCCTTCAGAATTGTCATGATAATGTCAGGAATGGGTTATCTTCTATGATGCTTTAACTTGAAGTAACCGCTTGTATTATGCAAATTTATCTCCTCTACCTTAGGGATGACAATTGACAATGGGATGAGATGTGTGAGTATCTAATCGATTCAAATTCCACCCAATATGGTTTCGATAAATTTTGATTTTGATCTGATATGAAAATTAATTAAAAATTCAATTTTGAACTAATTTATTACTTATTTCACATTTTAGTACTTGAAATTCTGATTTGATATGAAATTTAATTAAACATTTAATTTTGAGATAACAATTTAACCAACGAATTTCACGTTTTTATCCAAATAGATCGTTTAATTTTAAGTAAATTTGAAGATCTATAAGTATTTATTTTATGTTAAAAATTTAACCGTTAAATTTATATTTTTCAAACATATTATTTTAGATCAACATGATAAAAATATATCAACTTAAATTTAAAATTTAAACATATATTCAATATAATATATTAATAGTATATTAATATAAAAAACCTTATAAAAATATGTAATATATATATAGGGTTAAATTCCACTTACCATATATATAAATCTTATAGTTTTACACTTTTTTAGAACTAATAGATTTATGAAAATCAAAGGTTAAAATTAATTCATTATTTTTTTCATTGAATTTATTCTCATTTTAATACAAAATTCACACATACACACACATAGATAGATAAATAGATAGATAGATAGACGATTTAGTGATGCAATCATTGATGTATTTTTAATAGAAAATTAAATCTAAAATTTAAAGCTGATATTAATAAAAAAATATTTAAATTTTTTAAATATAAATCATAAAATAGATATTTGATATATCATATATATATATATATATATATATATATATATTTATAATCCTTTTTTTAATAAATACATATGATTAATAAATAAGTTTCCCTTAAATTATGAAAAAATAATAAGTTTATTAAAAATCGAATAAAAATTATAGTTGTTTGAAATTTCAAAGTCTTATTATAAATAATTAAAATTATTTTGTTTTTGAAAAATATAAAAAAGAGAAAATATAGTCCATATATAAACATTAATCAATTTACTATATTATGATTACTATTAGTTTGTAAGAAAAGAAAATCGATAAAAACCACCACCACAGCGCTTCATTCCATAACCCATCCTCCTTTTCTACCCATGACTTCATCGGTCGGTGGCGGAGGCAGATACATGGCCTTCTCTCCGTCGCCTTCCGCCCCTCACTCTCCCCATCTCTCTGGCTTTCGCTCTGCCGCCACCGCCGCTGCTCTTCTCGATCAAGAGAAGTAAGCTGTTTGTTTTTCTCCTCTCTTTTTCTTCACTTTAATTTTAATCCAACCCTTACGATCGTCGGTTTGTCAGTTAATATAGTGATCTCGCCTCTGATCTTTCTATTTTTCTTTTGATTGGTTAGCATACTGTTAAAAATTGTTTTTTCTAGCTCACTTCTGCTGCAATTTCGTAGATCTAAAGCTTGATCTTTCGTTTTTGAACGGCCTATGTTTTTCGGTTCGAGTTTCTGTTGATTTTAGGATTTTACTAACAGATCAGTTCGAATTTCGGAGGTGATGAATTTCCAGTGTTGTTTGTGTGGGGGTTGCGGTTTAAGTTGTGATCTGCGAATAGTTGTATTGGATCGAAGGGGATGATCGAATATCTGCAATATTTTGTAAAATCAGAATCCGAAAATTTGCGTTGAAACCTTAAATCCTTAATATGTTTATTTTCCATGGAAATCCAAATCTGCTAAATATCCAAGTCCAATTTTTTTATAAAATAAAATTTTTCAAAATTAAAGCTGATAATTAATTTGGATCTCCTTATCCAAATCCATTATCTGTTAAAGTAAAGTGGATTCAGATAATGGAAGTGTTAATCTATTGTCATCCTGCAATTGAAGCTAAATATGATTGTTTCTGTTCAACTTTAACATCACCTTGTTTAGATAGATGTTTTAATGTATTCTTGGCTGATGGTTTCTGTTTTCCCTTTCGTAGATATCTATCGGAGTTGCTGGAAGAGCGTTACAAGCTTACCCCATTTATGCCAGTGATCCCTCATACGTGTAGACTGTTGAACCAGGGTGAGTTCCTCTAAGTAGCAATCTTCTTTTTCTCGTCAAAGGATCATGCACACAGCACACTATATCCTTCCCTCCTTGTCCTTACTAAAACAACTTAAGGCTAACGGTTAATTGCCAAATACTAACTCGACATGTAACTCATTGGAAATGGTAATCAAGACCCACTAACACTAGTTTTTTTACTAAATCTCCTGTCAAAATTAATTCTTTTGGTAAAACATGTGAATGAATCGTGGCTCATGTCATGACAATTTTTTTATAGAACTTACAATGACTAAGATGCAGTGGAACTATGATAGAGGTCCGACTGAGTCCATTTTTAGCCCTCTATGTGGAGACTTGCTTACTCTTTCCAACTTGTTTTGGGTGGAGCAATCATGATTCAACAAAACTATGGTTCTAAATTTGTTTTTAGAAAACAATATGGCCTTCAATGTAACAATGGGTGGTTAGACATTTCTTAGAAAGGAATGAAAATGAATGATAAAGAAGAAAGAAGAGGTTGCTGCTGCAGTGATAGATAAGAGAGAAAATAGAATAGGAACAAAGAGGGAAGAAAAAGTTTCTGACCTAAACTAACAGTGTTGAAGGAAGAAAATGGATATGAAGAAAGAGTTGAGGGGGAAACTCGTGATTTTACTGGTATTTATCTTAGGAAGCATTCTATGGTGGGTATTCCGATCCCAAGGTCTTTTGAGGAATTGAGAAATCTTGGTATTAGGTAGTTGTTGTGAGAGACGTTATTTAACTGCTTCTAACCACAATAGATGATTGTTTGTTTTCCCTATCTTCTATTGTACAAAAGTTGCCTCGCAACAATGTGCTAATATTTGGTGGGAAAGATTAAATAGTGTTTCCTTTATTGTTTCCTCTGTTTGTATTGTATTCTTTTTCCTTTCTGTTTTCTATTATTTCTGATACTAACAGTTTCTTTGTTACTCCATGATTCTGTGGGATAGTAGGTGAAATAATTCGTTTTAAATTAATCTTAAAAATATTTATTATTGATTCAAAAGTAAACTAAAATAAAATTTCATTGCATCTTTCATTTCTTTTCTTACTCAGCTGGAAGAGTAACTTAATTCATGAAGCCACAGTTGGCATTCAACTGACTAAATTAACATTGGCTATAGTCTCTCCATTTTGTGGTGACTGCTAACTGATTTCTTAACGCTAACTGGTACATCTTATTCTTGAAAATGACATTTTTGGAGCAGAAATTTCGCGTATAACTACACTGTTGGGGAATGCATCAGTTTTAGGTCAAAGTGGGCTTGAACAAGCTAGCACCCGGACTTCTGGAGGAATGATTTCAAATGGAGGAGCTGATATGAACAGATGGATATCGCGGTTTCAATCAGGAGTATGACTACTAACCATTAACCTAACTCCTTACCATCTAATTTTGCTGCTTTTCGAGGTATTGCTGACTTAATAATTTATGACATTTCATGCTAACCTAACCTTTATTTGAAATCTAGCTTGTATAGTTATTTCTCCTTATACAGGAAAACTGAGGCTAACATGAAGAATTCTTGAAAACTAATTTTAACTTTAAAAAGTGTTTCAGGCTGTTTCTCGGGTTTCTATCATTGTCAAGATAAAATCAGACATGCCGAGATGATAGTTAGTTGTACTCTTATATTTGTTAAGCTTCAGTTCTTTTTAGGATGGAAGCCTGAAATGTTGAATAAGTGTGATGCAATGCAGTTAAAAGTTTGGATAAGAGGGCTAGTCTCTGAATGCTGTGTTTATTGCTGACTATCTTACTCCCCCCCACAGCAACAACAACAAAAAGAGGGAAAAGGAAAAAAGTGGTTTCCATTATTTCAGTTTCCTGTTGTATATTTGTGCAAAGGCTATCTTTTTATTTCATAGGCGCTGCTTAGATGGTATCTCAATATGTTAATGGTTTGACTGTGTTAATAGGGTCCTTATTCATCTGGAAATCCATATGTTGCTGCTTTTAGACATCATAGTCCTTGAACGAGTTTACTCATCTCTTTATATTCTGCCTGAACGGTATCTTTTTACAGTGGAAGACAATTGCATTAATCTTTTAACATGTTATTTATTTATTTTAACAACACGATGAATATTATGGTGCAGATGCCAGGTTTAGTGCAGCCCTCTTTGTCAGAGAACTGGCTGAATTCTCAAGGTAGCTCGTCCGGTCTTATTGTTAAGAGAACAATCAGAGTGGATATTCCTGTCGACAAATATCCCAACGTATGTATGAACTCGTCATCAAAGTGATTTAGAACATATCCTTTTCAGTGTCTAAATGAATTTAATGTTGCAGTACAATTTTGTTGGTCGCCTCCTTGGTCCTAGGGGCAACTCTCTTAAGCGTGTGGAGGCCAATACAGAGTGCCGTGTCCTTATAAGAGGGCGGGGCAGTATTAAGGATCCAGCTAGGGTAATGATCCTTTTCTTTCATCATTATAAGTGATTATTGCTCATTAAATAAGTTTGGTAAATATGTGATCTTATTTAACAAATTTTGAGGAACTTGAAATATTGCACGTCTTAAAATATGGATAAACAAACTTAAATGACTTAAAATTTGTGAAGGAGGAAATGATGAGAGGAAAACCTGGGTATGAACATCTGAATGAACCTCTTCATATCCTAGTTGAGGCAGAATTACCTGTTGAAATAGTCGATGCTCGCCTAATGCAAGCGCGGGAAATACTTGAAGATTTGCTGAAGCCTACGGTTAGTAAAATTTTCCTTGTGTTGTGATAATATTAATATTCTGTATATGCTTTCGCTTAACTTCTTTATTTCATTTTCTGAAAACAGGATGAATCCCAGGATTTCTATAAGAAACAACAGCTGCGAGAGCTAGCAATGCTGAATGGTACACTTCGTGAGGAAGGGTCTCCGATGTCTGCCCCTTTATCCCCCTTCCAAAACAGCCTTGGAATGAAGCGAGCCAAGACTAGGGGGTAAACGAACCCTCCTTGAGGGCTGTTGGAACTTGTGTCTTAGTGTCTGCCATAGGCAGCAATTTCCCGAACATTGCAGGTTTTGTCTGTATGGGCGAATGCCTCTATTTGCAAACGGGCACTGGCTCGGGCACTGGCTCGGGCACTGTTACTGTTGTGTGCCAGTTAAGTTAGGCCGTTCTAACTTGTTTTATATATGAGGTGTGTTTATGTTGTGTGTTGGGAGGAGGTTAAATGCTAGTATTACACAAGTAAGCAATGGGTGTGAGTTCATTTTCGGGTTTCGGATTTTGGTTCGCATGTTGGTTCAGGCGGGCAGAGAATAGCTGTGCTAAACTCTAGGTTGCATTAGATTATGTTTATTAAGTTGCATTATTAGATTATGTTTATTATTATTGTTTATTAAGCTTTGTAATGTGAAACCTATGTAAATTAAATGTGAAGGTTTGTATTATATAACGTGATATACACAGCAAGACCGTGCCCGGTGGTTTTATTTTACCCTACTCTTTAGGAACCTTACCTGGATCTGCGTTTTCAGGTCCGAGGTGGCTCCTTCGATCATGTTCTGGTTATATGCTGGTCCGCTCGGATGAATCCGACAGCTCTGTTGCCTCCCACCTTCATATGTTTTCAACAGCCCGACCTTGACCCAAAACTCAGGTGATCCCAATTTAGTCTAATTTTTCACTAAAAGAAAGCATTTTTTTAAAACTAATAAAGCAATGTATGAAGATCTGGGTAATATCCATCCGTTAGAGGGGATTAATTTTCTGTGATCTTGTTTAGTCATGTGTAAAATGAAACACAAAGGGTACGGATACATTTGTCTCTTTTTTCTTAAGGGAGATTTTAACTTATTCTCTTTGGAGCTCATTTAAATCCAAAATCATTGATCAATGATTAATCAAAAAAAATGCTGTGATGTTCTACCTTTGCCTTCTATTTACAACAACTGGCAACGATTCGGTTTTTTCTTTGTCGGTGGAGTTTCGTGTAGGTTCATACCATTCTTGAACGTATTAAATAAAACGATCTTGTCCAATTTGTTATATTTAAAATTTCAATGAGAAAAATAAACTTATTTAAATATTAGTAGTTATTTCACTGTGTCACTTCAACAATTTGTCAAAATAAAATAATTTCAATTAAACTTTAGTGATCATATTTTAATTAAATAAAAGTGAAAATGATTGAATATTATATTTTTTGAATTTATTGAGGAAAAATATATAAAATTTAGACGAAAGTGGTTAATTATATAATTTACTTTTTATATATTTTCTATTGAAAATTTATATTAATCCTTAAAAAATTTATAAATTTAACCTCTTTTGAACTTTTAAAAATTTATTTTTCTAATATAAAATTTTATAGACATCTCTGAGCGTTTCTAATATAAAATTTTACATGCATCCCACAACGGGTCGAGTAGGTTAACTCGGATCCCTACCATGACCCGACAGGTGGGTTTAATTAAAATTTCATTTATTAATTTCCTTGAACTTACTTTTATAATTTCATCCGCATCTATATTTCTATTAAGTATTAGATTAAGAATAATGAAAAATCTTGTGAAAAACACACCAATTACCTGTATAACAAGAAGATTTATATAGTAGTAATGCATGCTTTTGTCTTCTTTGCTCTTATATCCCTCACCACAATAAAATTTTACACTCAAGAATTAAATCCCAGAAAAATATCTCATCCATGCCCAGTAGATACCAGAAGGTCTTACAATCGGGACAAGTTCATCACGATTCGGAATTCGGGTCGCGAACGCAACAAAGCCATTTTTTCTATAAAAAGCAACACTGTATCAAAAGAGAAAGCCATTATACAGAATCGAAAACGATGCTACATATGCACATTGTAGGCTAAAGTCATTAGAGATTACTTACGGTCTGGGGTTTGTCGGATTTGGCTTCAGGTTTACCATAAGGGTCAGCCTTTTCCACTAACTCGGGTTTGCCGCCTGTTTTCTTCTCGTCCCTCGCCTTGTTGAAGATCACGGTAAATCCCTCGGCCGATGCAGGATCGTTGACATCCCATTCACCGAATTTCGGCAATGGTCGTCCCCGCTCCTGTTGAGCATAAAAGAAAAGGTAAAATGCTCCCCGTTAATATCCACATAACCAATATAGGTACACAGACAGAACATCATCGTGACAAAACTGGTACCTGTCAAGATTCACCAAGCATTCGATCACACATCATAACTAGTCATACAACTGTACAAACAAAAGTAGTCCAAGCACAGAATTATTTGTCCAAATTCAGTAAACAACGTTCGGCAGCAAAACAGTTACTCTAATGAATTGCTTACCTTGATGGTTTCAAACTCTAATAAAAAGGTAAAGAGAAAAAGACAATATGACAAATCAGACTTCATTGTTTTCCATAGAGGTCAAGGGACACTGGCGTAACCGTGTATGACAGATATTTCACTTTCTAGGTATTTCTAGACTTCTCAGTTTCTTTGAACCAGACAGAGTTGATCTATTACGTGCTATAAACTAGCAATCAAATAATTGGCCAACTACGAATAGAACACAGCATTATTCAATCGAACATAATATCATTGGACACAATGCAACCTCTAAATGCCAATGAAGCTTCTAAACAACTGCTGCTAGATACCATACGGCTCTTACATAACTTCAGCTTCAACTTAATTAAAGTAAATTTCATTTAACGAAAGAAAAAAGTAATTTGCATGTTTTGCAATATTGAAGGGCGATTGATGTGATTTCAATTTTCAGCTGAGCTCAGATCAACGACGCTTCTGATCATTACAGCAGTCAGGTAAAATGGTGGTCCTAAATAGATAGTGCAGTTCCAATTCACCAGTCACCGGTTATTGATTGCTTACAGAAATCAATCCGAAAGAAAACCTGGTCCAGATCTTAAAATTCCCATGATCACTATTTTTCAAATAGGATATGTACGGCCAAGAAAATCAATCATAGATGATCCACGAATACATGTTTTAAGCTATTATATTATCAGTAATAATTCACTTCAGAGAATTTTATTGAATGGAGCTGTTAGGTGAGTAAAACAATGATGGAAACCGTGCCTAATTAGCAAAAATACAGTATATCACAGTTAATGTGGAGATCAAAACGCCACAGAAAAACACGAGCAGTTAATCTGAAACATTCGCAAAGATACGGTAAAAAGCTTAAATTATCTTGAAAAAAAGGAATCTACCAACATAAATAAAAAATCAAAATAATATTAACTAACGGGAATCTGTGCATAATTTAGTTGGACATTTCAAATATAAACTTTTCCATAGACCCCATAAGGAACTCTAATTAGAGCAGGCCAATTGAACATTCAAAAAACCGATATGACACATTAGTCTATTTTCAGAAAATGATCATATTAATGGGTTACAACATTTAAGATCAAGCTTCCATTTGCAAATTAGACAAAATCAAATAACACTAAAGCAACGGCAAAAACCATCTCAAAACACGAAGCAAAAGCTAATTTTCATACTGATCAAAGTTCAATATATCGATTCTGGATATGTTCTGAAAATAACTTTATGGCAATTCTACCGTATCACCCCTTACAAGATCCAATAATTAAGCATTTTCATAACAAAATTAATGGTACATTAAAACAACGAACCCATTTATTAATGCATCTTTTTTTTATTATAAATTCCAAGGTTCTAGAGTGAAATCACCTAAAAGTATAACAATTCCCCCACCCAGGAATCATGTTATCACACAATTAAATTGCTCAAAATGGTATATAATTCATCAATTAGACAATACAAAAGGCTCAAAACTACCTTCCATCAAAACTCATCAAAGAAAACGCCAATCAATACGCAAAACAAAAGCTCAAATCCATCAACAAAAACGCAAAACAATAAAAAACCCAGAAAAGATATCAATCATGGCAATCCAAAACTCAAATCCATAAACAAAACAAATGAATTTAACCAGACAACAAATTTAAACCTTTTAGATGATGGTAATATGAAGAAGAATAAGAAGAACCCAAAAGATCACATACCGACATGAATTCTTGAGAGAAAAACTCTCTTGTTGTTGAAGGGAGAGATAATAGGGCTGCGGAGAGAGGGGAATGGAGAAATAATATTTTTATATTTTTAGATATGGATAACGACGTTATTGTTAACGGTAAATTGATAGGGAAAATAGTGGAAGTGAAACGGAGGCGTTAATTAAAACCGTTTGTGAGAAGGCGGAGATAACGGAACAATACGATGAGCTGGCAGACTGTATTATGAAAAAAAATATTAAATAAACAACTAATTTTAAGGTGAATTTAAAGAAAAATGGTGAAAATAAAGTCGTTTCTACAACTTATATATTAATATTCAAATAAAGTTTGTTCCATATACAATCTTATAGATGAAAATGATAATTTAATATTAAAATATTATTAACTACATTTATAAATAACTTAAAATTAATTGACATGGAATGGATTGAGTTTTTGGTCGACTCGAGTATTATACCATTTCTTCAACTTACATTTGCTTTATTAAACTTAAAATAAGTAAAAATTTATATCTGACTCGGTCTTATATAAGAAATGTTTATATTATTTTCTCGGGTCGAAAATTTTCACTCTAAATTATAATTCGACTTAATTTTATTCTTAAAAAGATAACGTGAACTCAAACTTTTTTTTGTTGTTGAAAAAACATGATCCTGTAAATTCAGATCAAGTTGAATATTTTTTTTTAAATTTGGATCCTATATTTAGGATGGAAACAGGCCAGTCGGATTATTTTTTATCCACCTGACCCGATCCAAAATAGAAGTTCTTCACCCGCACTTAACCCGGACCAGATTTAGGAGGAATCAACCCTACTCAAAACACATATCGATATTTTAGATTAAAACTCACATCCACATCTGTATTTCGATTGAACTAAATATATATTAAAAATTCATTTTTATTAGGTAAATGACCTAATCGAAAGAAATAAAATAGAAATGATAATTATAATGTTATATCAGATCAAATTAAATATGATTTTTTATTCTAAATTCGAATATAACTCAATTCGACCACATCCTAAAAGAATGACCGATTCAAACCTAAAATTTAAAATATAAAACTGACCCAACCAAATCGAGTCAAATCTAGATAAAATAACGGCAAAATTGGCCCAGTAAGGTATATGAGTTTTTTATTTAGCCTAATAGGACAAGTAAAAATTTATTGTGGGATACATGGTATTTTGTATGGGACATGAAAATCGTCACATCGAGATGACGAGTTTCAATAATTTTTTATTCTAAATTTTTACCTCGATGTGATAGATTTTAATAAAAATTTATATTTTATTGGTACTCGTCATCTCGAGGTGACGAGTTTAAATAAAAAAAATATTTTTTATTAGAACTTGTCACATCGGCGTGACGAGTTCTAATGTGACAAGTTCTAATAGCACTGTAGAAAATACCGTAGATCCCAAAATATAAACCGAGATGTCTTAATGGGCTAAATAAGAAACCCGTTATCCTTATTGGGCCAAAATAAACTAAAATAACAGTCCCTGCCCATGCCCATTATTTCTAATTTTGGGCTTTTCCATTCCTTTAGGCCCATCTAGGAAAGACTCTTTGTACATGAAGAGAAAAAAAAAACTTTTTGGATAACAATGGCGAGCCTGTGAATTGAGCTACGCTCAGCTTCTCTTACCTTTATATCTCTTACTTCTTTTCTTCTCCCATCTAGAGCTTGAAATCTGCAATGGCGGTATCATCAATCTCTGCAACTCTGTTTCCTTCTTCAACAATCCCAAACCCTTCACCCAAACCAAGGCTCACCTTTCTTTCTACTTCTTCACCACTTTCTTTCAACCCCTTGAAGCTCGCCAATCCTTCCCTCAAACTTTCTCCGTTCACCACAAAGATTTTTGCTTCCCCTGAAGATTTTCAAGAGATACCCGAGGTTTGCTAAGTTTCTCCCTTTTCTTTTGTAGAACTTCTGAATTCAGTTTTAAGCATTTGATTGCGCAGAGATAGAGGGAATTGAAAAAGAAAAGAGACAGTCTTTTCCCTTTGGGCTTGACGGGGTTGAATTTTTAGAGGTTTATTTGTATAATTCTTTGTTTGTTTGCTAAGAAATGTGAGAAAAAAAGTTGAACTTTGGCCATTTCTGTTTTGTTCATATCATAGTATTCAATTGCGATTGCGGATGTTGCGGACGTTATGATGCGATTTGTTCCCTAAAAATAACTATGTTTCTATGTTGCTGATGAGGTGTTGCGATGACCTTGCAAAACTATGGTTCATATGAGCCTATTGTACTACTGTTGCACTCAAATTTGAAGCCTTGGACACCAACAAGTGAGCTTAGCTTATGAGATAGAATTGCATTTTGGATTTAGTTCTTTGTTTTTATGCTAAAAAATGTGAGAAAAAATTGTACTTTCACCTTTTCTGTTTTGTTAATGTGAGCTGTTTTATCACGGTTGCACTCGAATTCGAGACACCGAGCATCGAAAAGTGAGTTTAGTTGTTCATTCAATTCTCTATTCTTATGATTTGAACTTAGTTTTGTGTCTTGCAGGTTGGAGCCTCTGAGGTGCCCACTTCTTCATCTGTTACCATAGAAGCAGATAAGGTATGTATTTGAGATGATGAAACTTGTTTAAAACTTTGATGCAGCTATGACAAGTTCTAGAGTTAAACTCGCCGAAAGGGATTTTATATTATTAGATAAAATATGAGATTTCCCCTTTGATGATAATATAAATACATAGGCTATCCTTGTAATGCAAGTACATTATTGGCTGCTAGAAGGTTCGGTGAAAACGTTTAATGTTCTTTTTCTCTTGTTCTGGTTTTATGGTTTACTATTGATCTTTCAAGTTGGATGGTAGTTGTATTTTGTAAAAAGTTTATTCACGTAGGTCGAATCATATCAGCGATTTTCCCGGGTTTTGTTAGTGCTCACAGTCCAACCGCAGTAGGCATGTTTTATATTGCGCTCTTCTCTTTGCGTATATGGTGATAATCAAGTATGGTATTGGATTACATGTGAGTTAATCTTGGCCTGACTGGCATCTAGCTGGTCCACGGAACTGCATGTTCTCGAAGAACAATTAACTGTAGTTTACACGAGCTTGCTGTTGGCCGTTTTGTTTGTTAAAAAGTTAAGGGGGGATTCCAAATGACCGGAAATCACTCGATGTCCAATGATGAAGTTGAACCATACTAAACAATCGTACCTTTACCTTGGAGGATTGATGATGGATTCGATTGGTTTAGTAAAATTGGATAGGAAGTGGGGCGACTCATTCTCCCTGCTCGAGCGGGAAGAGCTATTTGTGCATCTTACGAACATGGGCGCTCTATGGTTCTTCAAGGGTTTTCCTTTGAATCATTAGAAGAGTTCATTGGTCCACCAAAGGAGCTTGGTAAAAAAAGGGTATATTGCACCCGGCCTTTACCGATCATTGGTAAAGAAGATTTAATACCCCTGTTAGTTGGGGCTGGTTGGCCTAGAATTTTTGCTTGTAATCATTATATTCTTCCTAGGTGTCTTCCCTTGCCTTTGTCTCATTCTTGATTCGACTGACCTGATCGGAAACTTGTCTCTGAATACATTATATTTTGATCTTGATTTCTGGTGGTAATACAGGAAGTTCTTATTCACAATTCCTTTCACAGGCAGCTCCTAAGCAGAAGATTCGAATTAAACTTAGGTCATACTGGGTACCCTTGATCGAGGACTCTTGCAAGCAGATTCTGGATGCCGCTCAAACTACCAATGCCAAGACGATGGGACCTGTGCCATTACCGACCAAGAAGAGGATCTATTGTGTCCTTAAATCCCCACATGTGCACAAAGATGCAAGGTTCCACTTTGAGATTCGGACACACCAGCGCCTTATCGACATTCTATACCCAACAGCGCAAACGATTGATTCGTTGATGCAACTCGACCTTCCTGCCGGGGTTGATGTGGAAGTCAAGCTGTGAAGAAGCAACACTGTAGTTTAGATAATTTTTTGTACAAGTTGATAAAGATGCCACTTGAAAACTTGTATTAAGATCTGCTTCATTTCTTTCCTTGTTTTGTTATTTCTTCTGCAAACTTAAAAGAACTTCAAGAAATGCAAATATTCAAGGTATTGAGGTTTGCTGATTGCAAAAGCTGAAGCCATTATTATTTGGACAACACGAATTATGATGAAATTCAAAATATATTGTTTAGTATTCTGACTATCATTTTTGTTTCGATTTGGTCATTAAATTATTATTTTTATTTCAAAATCATACTTAATGTTGTATTTTGGTTTTATTTTTGTCATCTACCGTTACAAAATATGATATAACGTTAAATATAATTTTGAGAAAATAATAGTTGAATAACTAAAACAGAACCTATCATGCCGCAACACTGCATCAACATGAAACTTCACTTTAGGTTCAATCTCCATCACTTGCACATTTCATATGTATATTTTTAAGAGCAGATTTCAGATCTCAAAGTTTAAGGGGGAAAGAAAATTATTTTAGTTTGGTACCCTGAAAAGTGGCAACTTCAAAGAAAGTTGATTTACAATATTATATACAATTTGTAATAATAATTATATTTATATGCATATGGAAACTAGGAAAAATGTGTAAACCATATGAAAAATATTTAATTGTCAAAAACAAAACCCATAGTATCTTATTTAAATGCCAACAACAACTTGCATAATAAAAAACAAAACCCATAGAACCTTATTCAATTAATTTTTTTATGATTCTATCCGTTTTAAAATGTATGATTGAAAAATATTTTTGGGGAGTACGTGAGTTAATTGATTCAGCTGTAAAGGAATACATATGCTCTTTTTCATGGAAAATGCCATGAAAGACGAGAAATATTTTTATGATTGAAAAATGTGTAAACCATACGTTAGAAACAGTAAATTATGTCATTAATTGTATATTTTTAGATCTTTATTCATGTGTTTACCCCTTGGAAGCCAGGTTTCTGCCTACTGAATCCCAGGTTTCTGCATGTTGTGCATAATAAAGTAAAAGAGAAAAAAGAAGAAGAAGAAACTTTGATGCTAAAAATGAAGCCTTTCCATGAACCTGCCGTTTGTGTTTCAGTGCCTTTCCTCTCTGGTCTCTCAACCTCCAAGCTTGCTCACCACGCATATCTCTTCCCCAAGTAATCTCCTTTTGTCTTTCTCTTGCTAGTCTCATTTATATATAGACCCAAAGCCAGAAGCTTTTCAAGTTTCAAACACTCAAAATCCAAGTTTTTTTTTCTTTAGTTGCAGGCTTACAGCCCCAAAGAATGAACCTTTTTGCTTCACAATCATTTTTACCAACGAGTTCAACGACTAGTTTTGATTTTCTACTAAAACCCAATTTTCTTCATGGGTTTTCTGCCTCTTTACACTTAGCTTTCTTACTTTATTTGTTAGTCTTATGCGTGGTGAGCAGAGTTAAAAATGGTGGAGGGGGAGGTTCAAATGAGACATTAAGGCAAAGACAGGTTTTGTGGTTTAAGCGAACATTAACTTCTTGTTTTGTTGTTTCAGCTTTTAATGTTGTCTTTTGTTTGTTAAGTTATTTTAATGGGTATAGACACGATTGGTCTGAGAATAAGTTGGTGAGTCTTTTAGATTATGGGCTGAAAACACTTGCTTGGGGTGCTACCTGTGTTTACTTACACATTCAATTCTCCAATTCTGGTGAACAAAAGAGGTTCCCATCGTTGTTGAGAATTTGGTCTGGCTTTTACTTGTTAATTTCATGTTATTTTCTTGTTATAGACATTGTTCTGTTAAAAAAGCACGTTTCTTTCCCGAGCCAGTATTTAGTGTCCAATGTCTTTTCGTCGATTACCGGTTTGTTTCTATGTATTGTTGGGTTTGTAGGAAGAAATGAGGGTGAAGATACCCTCCTTGAGTACAATGAGGAGCCTCTTCTAAATGGAGAGTCTAGTTTTAGTAATGGTGTAGAGTTTAGCAATAAAAAAGGGGTGACACTGTAACCCCATACTCAAATGCTGGTATTTTCAGCATTCTTACATTTTCTTGGATGGGGCCTCTCATTGCTGCTGGCAGTAAGAAGCCATTGGAACTCGACGATGTTCCTCAGCTAGATAACGATGATAGTGTCGTTGGGGCTTTTCCGAATTTTCGAAACAGGCTTGAGTTGGTTGATAGTGAGGGGAGTGGTGTTACCTCGCTTAAGCTGGTGAAGGCACTCTTCTTGTCAGCATGGAAAGATATCCTTTGGACGGCTTTGTTCGCGATTATGTACACCGTCGCTTCATATGTCGGTCCATACCTCATCGACACTTTGGTTCAGTATCTGAATGGTAAAAGGGAGTTTAAAAAAGAGGGGTATCTCCTAGTTGCTGCTTTCTTTGTTGCAAAGCTAGTGGAGTGCCTGTCTCAGAGGCGCTGGTTCTTTAAGTTGCTGCCAGTGGGGCTTAGGATGAGAGCTGTATTGGTGGTAATGATATATAACAAGGGTTTAACGCTTTCGTGCCAGTCTAAGCAGAGCCTCACCAGTGGGGAGATTATCAGTTTCATGACTGTTGATGCCGAAAGGGTTGGTGATTTTGGTTGGTACATGCATGATCCATGGGTAGCAATTTTGCAAGTTGCTTGGCCTTGGTGATCTTGTATAAAACCCTCGGGCTAGCATCCATCGCTGCATTTGTTGCGACGGTACTTGTAATGTTGGCAAATATTCCTTTGGGGAGAATGCTAGAGAAGTTCCAGGATAAGTTAATGGAATCAAAGGATACAAGGATGAAAGCAACATCTGAAATTTTGAGGAATATGAAGATCCTCAAACTTCAGGGGTGGGAAATGAAGTTTCTGCCCAAGCTTATCGGGCTCAGGAACGTCGAGGAAGGATGGTTAAAACAAATTGTTTATACGAATGCCATGACAAGTTTTGTTTTCTGGATTGCACCCTCCTTTGTATCTGTAGTCACTTTTGGTGCTTGTATGTTATTAGGTGTCCCACTAGAGTTGGGGAGGATCCTATCTGCACTTGCAACATTCAGAATTCTGCGGGAGCCAATTAACATTCTTCCTGAGACAATTTCAATGCTAGCTCAGGCCAAGGTGTCCCTCGATCGAATTGCTTCCTTCCTCCGCCTTGATGACTTGCAGCCTGATGCTATCGAGAAGCTTCCGAGAGCTAGTTACGGTATAGCAGTCGAGATCACTGATGGGAACTTCTCTTGGGATTTTTCATGCCCCACTGCAACACTAAAAGATATAAATTTGAAAGTCTCCCATGGTATGAGTGTTGCTGTTTGTGGCACAATTGGCTCTGGCAAGTCGAGTTTACTTTCACGTGTTCTAGGGGAATTACCTAAGATATCGGGAACTCTTAAGTTGTGTGGTACAACAGCCTATGTTGCTCAATCTCGGATACAAAGTGGCAAGATCGTAGACAACATATTGTTCGGTAAGGAAATGGATAGAGACAGGTATGACAAGGTGCTTGAAGCTTGTACCCTCAAGAAGGATCTCATTTGTTTAAGGTAACTTCTTCCATCATATGGCATGTATTTTAAGAGTTCTTCTACTTTGGTTAGTGCTTTTCCTGAGTATCTTGTTTGATCTTTTGAATGACAGGAGGTTTTGCTGATCTATTTGAGTTCGAAAACGGTGATTTATGTCACTCAACAAGTCGAGTTTTTACCAGCTGCCGATCTAATTTTGGTGAGCTATTTACATTTATTTTCAGTGACTTCCATCTCAAGAAATATTTTAAAAACTGGATTCAATTTGTATTGTATATTTGTTAGGTGATGAAAGATGGGAGGATTGTGCAAGCAGGAAAGTACAATGATAATCTCAATGCAGGAACGGATTTTATCGAACTTGTGGGTGCACATAACAAAGCTTTGTCAGCCCTCGATAACATCGAAGCAAGATCTGTTTCCGAACGAACTATCAGTGAAGGACAAGGTGCTATGGGAAGTACTAATGGGAAACTACAGAAAGTGGAAAACTGAGGCAACGAGAGCAGTGAAGTAGACGATGCAGGGCCTAAAGAACGGCTTGTTCAAGGAGAGCGAGAGAAAGGAGAAGTCAGGTTTTCGGTTTACTGGAAATACATCACAACAGCATATGGAGGAGCCCTTGTGCCTTTAATATTGCTGGCACAGATTCTCTTTCAGATTATTCAAATTGGCAGCAACTATTGGATGGCTTGGGGATCACCTGTATCGGCCGACGTAATGCCTCCTGTTGGGAGCTTGACACTAATATTTGTCTATTTGGCCTTGGCCATTGCAAGTGCCTTTGCCATCTTTGTCAGAGCCATGTTTTTTAATACAGCTGGATATAAAACAGCCACTCTTCTCTTTAAGAAGATGCATTCTTGCATTTTTCGTGCTCCTATGTCGTTCTTCGATTCTACACCAAGTGGAAGAATCCTCAACAGGGTAAGTGTGATATTTTCCTGTATGGATATAAAAAAGATTCCATTTATTGTTGCCATTTTCTCGTTTTCGACAGATTGTAAATGGCTTTCCTGCCTCTTATAGGCTTCTACAGATCAAAGTGCAGTCGATATCGACATCCCATAACGATATTAGCAGCTGCAGCTTTTGATTCACCAATGCCTTTCCTAAGGATTCTCACCAAGTTTTCAGCTATTGAAACTGCATTTGCCTCTGCAACAGCTAATACACAGAAAACATCTTCTGCAATCTCATGACCGAGTGGTTTGGGTCCTTGAATAAGCTCAGCATCAAAGGAATTGCCCGCCATGAGTTGTGCGGCATCGTCTCTGACTCAAAGCATCTCCGTAAGAACATCTATAACACCCAACTCCACAAGCAGACCAGACCGTGGTGACGACCTTAATATCGAAGCAAAGCACCGGATTGGCCTATCACGGTGGCCAACGTATCATCTTCTTGGCGAGCAACACATTTTAAGAAATGAATAACTGGTCCTTGAAAACGGGGTCTCGAATTATTTGAACTATCATCAGCAATAAGATTACTAAGAATCTGATTGGTCTGGCTTAGTCTCGGGATCGATTTGATAGCTTAGTCAATTTAGTGCTCGAATTCCATAAAATTGTGTTGACTTAAAAAAATTCAAATAAAAATAAAACTCATTAACTCGATTAATTCAAAAAAAAAAGGCTCGATTCAACTCGATCAAATACTCAACAATATTAAGTGTTTTAGTGCATTCAAATTATAAAATACCAATTTAACTTTCTTTTTAAGTTTAAATACTAATTTGAGAAAATCTTCCAAGTTCAACTACCAATTTGAATAATAATCCCCAAAAAAGTATAAAGATAAACGGTGTCGTTTGGGGATACGCAAAACTAAACCTTTTTGTTTCTTCAAAGGAGCGATAGCTACGCAAAGAGCAAATATTTTTTTCTAATAAAAATGGCTACTTTGGATTCATCAAACTCGTCCACCGAAACCGACGTTGAAACAAACCCTAGCCCCGATCCTAATTCTTCAAAAGCTACAATCCCAAATCCTCCTAATTCCAATTCCCCTTCCGTATGCCTCATCAATTTCGCAGGAGATTCCGCCGCCGGCGCCTTCATGGGCTCCATCTTCGGTTACGGTATCCCCTTTTCTTTTCGATTTGATGCTTCATATCTCTTTCACTTTGAAAAAAATAGTCTTTTCTTTTTGGGTTTTATTGGCATTGTTGATGTGTACGGTAAAAAAGATTTTAGGATTTTTTAAAATCGATTTTCGGGTTTCTTTATTTCTTTTGATTTTTTGTTTGTAGATCAATTTGTTTCTCATTTAAATTTGGCTTTGTTTAAGGGTTGTTTTTTTTTGTTATGTTACGTATGAGATGAAGCTAGGAAGTGACGGATTAATGTGGTTATGGGAAAATGGTAGTAGTTGGGTTGGGAGGGTCATGTGGAGTACTCGATCCATAGTAGTCGGTCAATACTCAATAAGTCGGATACAGACGGTTATACGAAAAATTGTTAGTAGTTGAATGGATGAGATGGTTATAATGTTGAAAAATGGAACAAAAAGAAATTGTAATTTAGATTTAATAATTTCCTTAAAACAAAGCATCAGGATTTTGAGAATAGTGACTTGAGTTCTTCCATGGCTTTAAGCTCGAATACTGCTTCGGGGAACTTTGGACCTTGAAGAGACTTAATTCATACGTATGTGAGCTTTTGATGTTTGTGAAATCAAATTGTAGGCTTTCTTTCGCAATCTAGGTTGCTGTACGATGCATGTTGAAATTTGAATGCTCTGAATTTGTTTATTTTGGTGCCAATTTATGCGTAGGCTTAACTTCCAGTCACCAAGCTATCGTCTTTGGCTGGTTTCTGGACTTTTAAATTAACATATAATGGGGTTTATTTGTTTGCTTGATCAGGTTTACACATTTCTTTAATTTTCGCTTTTCTGCTTTTGTTGCTGTTGCAGGTTCGGGATTGATTAAAAAGAAGGGCTTTAAAGGCTCCTTTGTGGAGGCAGGATCTTATGCCAAGGTATGCGAATCTCATGACTCGAGAATGATGTGATTAACGCGCATTTCTCCCCCCCCCCCCCCCCCCCGAGTGCTAGCTTCTCTTATATATTATCATTTCCCTTTCATAGACGTTTGCAGTTTTGTCGGGTGTACACAGTTTGGTGGTTTGCTTTTTGAAGAGGCTGCGCGGAAAAGATGATGGTATGCCTTGTAAAAAACACCATAACACCGTCTTTCTTTCATTCTTCGCCTTTTTTGTGTGTGGTTGACGTGTTGATATACAGTAATTCTGTATTTGTCTGTAGTTATTAATGCTGGTGTAGCCGGATGTTGCACTGGACTTGCTCTAAGTTTTCCAGGTACGGGGATCTTGAAGTTCATTCGTTTGCTTACAGGGTTCGATTCGAACCTTATTTCTTTCATCGAAACGGTTATGCAGGTGCGCCCCAGGCACTTCTTCAGAGCTGTCTAACCTTTGGAGCCTTCTCGTGTATCATGGAAGGGCTTAACAAGCAGCAGCCAGCGCTGGCACATTCGTTTTCTTCGAGAAACAAGAGTGGAACTCGCCCGTTGGCTCTCCCTCTTTCGCTCCCTCTTCCGGATGAGTTCAAAGGAGCTTTCTCTTCCTTCTGCAAGTCCATAGTAAAACCAAATAAAGGCAGCTCTTGGAGAGCTAACTGATGGGGCTGCCATTTTTATGTTCTTGTGTTTTGTATATCGTTGCAAGTGCGGGTGGTGAGACTGTACACTTGAAAAATTTTGTTAAAGATTTTTGAAGCATTTGCAAACTGAAATATGAAGTTGTTTCTTTTATGTACTTTTGTTGTTATTTGGAGGCGTAACATCAAAATTTACTCCTAAGGTTTGATAAAATAGTCATTTTAGTCCATATTCTTTTAAAGTACTTTGGCATTAATCTTTCATTTTGAGACAAAATATCATTTAGTTGGATCAAAATTATTTGTTGACTAACGATCAATATATATCGATAACATAGAATTGTCACGTATTGAAAGTGATGATTTATAACATGATTATTTGTAACATGTCACGTGTTAAAAAAGATGATGTTGCACATGTCATGTGTCAAAATATATGATGTAACACATATAATATGTTAAAAGTGAGGATGTAACATATATTGCATGTCGAAAATTGATGATGTGATACATGTTATATATCAAAACTGGTGACGTGGTTGTCTTAGCTAGCAACAAGCGTTGATCGTTAGTCAACTAACAATATTTATCTAATTATAGACAATTTTGATTTAAAATGAAAGATTGGGTCCAAAGTAATAAAAGAATGATAAAAAAAGATTATGCTTTTTTGTTGTTGATAAATTTGAGTTAAATACAATGTCATATCTGTTTAAAACCTCCCATTATGATCTCTCCATTGACAACTGAATATAATGTATGCATGCATGCACGTATGTATATGGTTGCATGATGCATTTTCATTGTTGTTCTTTCTTTCAGGCTCTACTTTCTCCATTGATTCAAATGGAATCACTTGTGTTTCTGGCACCACTCTGAAACTGCTAGCAAAAGCAGGGAAACATGCTCAGGTGTACTGTATCGACTCCGGATTAAGAAATCGACCATCGGAAAGAACAGACGACAAGCATCTCCCCATGGAAGATATGGGCAAGCTAACCATCCTTATGATCCATTTCCATCGTTTTTTGCATTATCTTTCCATGCATGAGATGAAGCAAATTTCTACACCAACCTAAAGCATAAGTTAAGCTCTCAAAGGACAATTTCTTGCAAATTAAGCTAACTAGAATCAATCTATGGTATTCCTTGTATGTCAAGTTATCTTCGATTTGATTTGCAGAATCCGGATTCGAACCCTACTCTTTAAACCGGGAGAAATCATTACTTATTAAATCACATGTAGAATGTAAATGGTAAGATAATTTGTAAATTTCTGGAACACAAATAAGAAATTGGTATTACAAGTTATTTCAGCTACATAATATATGCATAATTAACGGTAATAAATAATTTAAGTAATATTAACCTAATCTTCGGCCATATGATCGGGAGAATGCATTAATTAGTAAACCATATACATACACTAAATGAAATTACATAATTACCAACGGATTGATTCAAGTGATAAGCAACTTAATACCATTAAATAAGATCTTAGGTTTAAGTTCTTGTGTATGTAGAGAACTCCCGTTAGGAGACTCATCCACCAAATGCAGATAAACGACGTGAATCTGTCTGAAAAAAACTAATAAATTAATGATTAAATTGAAATCCGCTCATAATTAAATGTTCATTCACATAATCTACCATGTAAACAAAATAATAAATATATAATATTTAAAGATGGAAAAAAAGTTGTTAATGAAATCTGTAGTGTACTAATAAAAGATATTATTTTAATTCTAATTGACATCAAATCATGGATTAGATCTTAAATAATTTCTCATCTTCCCTTTATTAAATAGAAAAAGAAAATCTCACAATCTATTTCATTGAAGACAACAATATTGCAGAGATATTCATAATCTCAGACATAAATAATATAATCTCATAATTAATATACCAAATAATTATATATATATATATAATATGCAAAATCTATTTCTGCCTCTTGTTCATTTACCAGTTAAGTTAACCACTCTCCAAGCTTGTGTTTCAATCAACAAAATCAGAGGAAAATACTTGTACTTTCAGCAACATGTTTTCATCGCCAGAACAATATTTGGTTAGTTTTTTCTTCCTCGTTTAAGGTTTAGGGTTTAATGATTCATGGTTTATGATATTTCTTGAGTGGATTGATTATAATGATTTTCTCTCTCTAGAGTTTTGGTCTAAGAGTCAACCCTCAATCTCCAGGATGGTATGAAAGCCTGACAAAAATTCTGAACTTAATCAAAGGTGCTTTTATTGGTTTTGATTTTCTTTTACGAATTAAGCGATTGGTTTTAGGGTTTAGAGTTTAATGACGGTTTTTTATCTCTTGTGGATTGATTGTGATGTTACTTGTGTAGGAGCAACCTACACCATTGATGCGGAACAAGGAATGGCTCTCGTTTCCGGCCGAGCAAACTCGAAATCGATCTTGAAGAAGCTTACGAAATCGGGTATAGAGGTCGCCTGGATCAAGACCGGGAAGCCGAGCACATACGGCGGTCATGGTCATGGTCATGGTCCATATCTACAGTACCCTTACCAATATCATCATCGTCCTACTCACCATCACAACAGCAACTATTATGACCCCTATGGGTCCAATCCACCACATTTTGAACCCTATAGCTACTATTCCACGCGCCACTATTAGAGGGGTTCATCATATACAAATGGGTTCTTTGTTTTTTTTAGGTATCCATTTGCATTTTCATTTGATCTTGTTCAAGATAAATCCTTTATTTTCCTGTTTAACGAATCCGTTTGATGTTAGGACTCGGATTCGATCAGTATTAAGATTCATATTTGATGCATCAGAATCCGTTTATTATTAGGGTTCATATTGATGCATAGTTCTTTTTATCATATTTGAACTCTTAAGTTAACTTTATATAAGATTATCGTTTATACTTTTGTTTTCATTAAGAATAATATGTTTTGCGTATACGATTAATAATCAATTGATTTTGATCAGCTTCCGGCAAGAAGTTATTTTGATGATGATATCAAAAAGATCAAAGGTGAATTTTAAGATTCAATTTGACTAAAAAGATTGAACGACATGATCAGTGATGAATAAATATAATTTAGAATTATATTATTATTATTATTATTTACTTTTTGGTGGTGTTTATTTTATATTTTGTATGTATAAATATATTGTATTTATATTCATTTTGATGCTTATTAGATTTTGATTTATTTTTATTGAATTGAATTGAATAAATTATTATTTCTAGATCACCAATTTAAAAGTTAAAGGAGGTTGAGTTTTAAGCCAATAAAATCAGAATTAATTTGCCCAATTTCATGATAAGACCTAATAAATATTTAAACCAACAAATCGAAATTAGAATTTAGTTTACCTATTTCAAAACTAATAGAAGCTTAGGAAGTAGTTAATCTAAAAAAATTCAGTGTTCAGAGTTTAATACAATATGATCTCTGATTATATGATAAAAGTTAGGGTAAAGTACACAATTGGTCACTTTTGTTTTATTTTTATAAACGTATGGTCACTCGATATAAAAAGTTAAATATGGGTCATTTTTGCTTTGTTTTAATTAAGATGTAGGAAACGTTGATTTTCGTTAGTCTGATGATGTGGCACGTTAATAAAATGGTTTAATTTTTTACTTTAACCCTTAAACTTTAGATAAAATATTAATTTAAGACTATTTTATAAATTCAAAGTAATTTAGGGACAAAGTTCTAATTTACCCATGTTTATATGTTTTCTTCCCCAACCCCAGCTTCTTGCGCCGCACACCCCTTCTTCTCTACGACCCATTTAGGGACAAAGCAATTGCTATGGCAATTTGGGTCCTTTGATTCCAACTCGGCTTCGTGTTTCGGAACAGGTAATCGGCTAAAGTGCCATTGCTTAAGAACTCATACACCAGAAAATATTTCTATCCCTTTTCGCAAACTCCTATTTACTTAACCAGGTTCTTATGATGTGTCCGCCCGATCACATTGATCTCAGTTTTGAATTTTTGTCCCTGTCTCCTTCCCGAATCACTCCATCAACTGTCTTCTTCCTTAAGCTACTTCTAACAGAGTCTTCATTCTTGAGTTCACATCCTCTGTTAGAAAACCTTAAATATTATGTTCTCCAAGAAAAGTCTCCAACAATACATCTTACATTGACCAGAGGTTTTTATTAGCTCATTCCATCCTAAGACTAAATTTCTCTCAGTTTTTGAGGATACGAAGATGGTTTACCGATAGGCGATAAGTTAGTTTCGTCCCTGCGATGTTGTATATTTTTTTTAATGAAATTTTGGTTAATGTTGCAATAATAAATGGCGTTGTCCATCTATGAATTCTATTATGGTAACCACTTATGGGTCAAAAAATTTGATATATATTTATAACAATGATGAATGTATTCCAGTTGAGGAGGAAGGAGAAGCTTTCGTACTTGAAATATGTTTTGATTAGCTTTTGACGAGAAGTAATTTCGATGACAATGTCAAAAGGATCAGAGGTGGAAGATATGGTTTAGGGTGAAAAATGAAAATTCTCTACCACCTAACCTTATTGACTTCTAAAGAGCCATGCATATATAATTTATGAAATGACACTCCTTATTTCCTTAAAATAAAAAAAAAGAAATAGAAATTAAAAGAATCTAATCGGATAGAACAAATGGCTTAAATAGTACCTCGTTGAAACTAAAATGTGTATATATGTTTCGGAACAAGGAGTTTAAGGTTTGAATAAAGGAATTAAACTTTTTATACCATTATAAAGGTTTGAAGGAAGAAGCTAAGTTTTTATACCAATATAAATGTTGTAGCATATTAGGATAATTTTGTTTTTATTTCTTGGGCTCATGTATCAGTGACTAAATAATTATAAAAATAAAATAAATCCTTCTAGGGAAAAATGTTGGTCAAAGAGTGCATTTCTTTTGCTCATGTATCAGCGGGTCACCAACTAACGAATTCCGAATGCAGAGTGGATTGAGGCATGATTGTTGGGTTACCAATGATGACCTTTTGTCTCCTTTCTAGTTTGTTATGGTGGTCGAAGCTTTCAATTTAATGGTGTGAAAAGCCATAGAAAGCTCCGAATTAAAGGGTATTATCTTGACTAATTCGAGGTTTGAGATTAATCATATCTAGTTTGCAACGCCACCGTAATTTTCTTTGAAGCATAATAGTCTCAA